GGTTTTTTTTTTTTTTTATATATCCGTTGATTTTTGGTTGGTTAATTAATATCCTGTGGGATCAGGATCTTCGGATACAGTTGAGTCTGATATAATCTGATATAGTTTAGAAATCCTGTTTTTAATACTTGAAATCTTGATTTTCGGACGGATTGTGTCAATGATTTCCATAATTTCCTTGGGTGATAAGTTAAAGGGTTGTATGATACTCATAGGGTTGGGTACACCTATTGAGTTTTCGATGATAAATTTTAGTTATTTGAAGTTTATTTTTAAATTTGGTATTGTTTCAAATACGATTTTTGTTGGTTCAAGTGTTCCAACTTTAATATGATCTGTTCCAATGAATTTGATCGTTTTGGTTTTTTTTGTTGTGGTTGGGTGGTTTTCGCGGAATCTAGTAGTTTGTTTGTGAGTGTTACCTTTTTTGATTGTTGAATTTGCGTGTTGATTTGAGATGTAGAACTATTAATTTGGTTATTAACGTTTGATGGATTAATAGAGGGGGAGATGCTGGAGGTAGATGAGGCTGGTCTTTTTGGTGTTTGGGATGATTTTAGAGTGGAGGGAGGATTGTTGGATGCTTGTTCGGAAAAGTTTTCGATGTTGGTTTCCATTTGCTTATCAACACTATTTGTACTTAGATCTATTAGAACATTATTATCTGTTTCAGTAATGTTAGAGATAGGAATCGAGTTGTTGTAAAAGGTTGTTTGAGATTCACTGTTTGAATTTGAGTAGATTTGCATACTATTATCTGTGTTCATATTATTGGAGATATGACTCGGGTTTTCATCGAGCATGGTTTGGGATTTATTTACAAATTCCTTTTTGTAATAATTAGATGTGTGGCCCGTTTGTTTACAGAGATAACACATCACTGTGTCATCCGAGAGAAAGATGCGATAATCTTATCTAGATAATTATCTGTATTTTTGCCAAGATTAGAGTTATTTTTATTCTTGTACGGAGATGAATCCAACAAATCAGAGATCATCGAAATCGGTCCAGCCGTTCTTGAATTATAAATTCTGTAAATAACCCTTCTGTAAATAAATTCTGTATAATAATTCTGTAAATTCTGTATTTTCATGTCGGGAAAATATTTTTGGTATTTTTAAACTTAATTTCTTATTTTTCCATGGAAGTTCCAAATATAGTAGGTATTTGATTTTAGTATATACATGTCAAGCCTGTGCGCAGGATTTCATAATGTGGGGTGTTTTGAAAAAATAATGTATAACGTAGACACATCAATAATTAGCAAATAGTATTATAAAATATTTATATTTATTATTAATTTTGTGTTAATTAAAGTGTGTTTAACAATACTATAAAATACAAATCATTTTTTTAATAAATTTACTCGACGAGGAACAGAAAAGAATTCATTCAATGCTTGGTTTATGTCCACGTTTATATCTCGATGTATATTCAATGATGCCAATCCATTTAAGCGATCTTCACCCATTGTTGATCGAAGGTAAGTTTTCAGCCAACGTAATGTTGAAAATGACCTTTCATTAGTCATTGTAGTTACAGGCAAAACTGACATTACACGTAAAATTTTATAAAAATTTGGAAATGCATCTGCATTACAAATATCGAGGGCATCAAGGGCGTTTCGAATATTTTTACCAACTATTCGTCGTCGCCAAATTTCTACCTCACTTATCCAAATTTCTGGAGAATCGTCGTGTAAAATTGAACTGTATGTTTCAAACAACGTTATACAAGTAACTTTGTCTAAAGATTTAGTTTCAATAGGAAAAAGGCATGAGAAGTTGCCCAAAATATTCCGATGTTTAAGGAAGCGATCCTCAAGATGAGTGATAAATAAATCATGATAGGGTATGTAAATAGTAATTTTATAATAATCTGCTACGGAGTCTGTTGTAATATTAGAACGGTTAGTTTGACGTGATGCAAGTCTTGATTTAGTCACAGGTATATTGTACTTTTTACAAATATCTTCTACAGTCACAAAAATTTTGTCGAAGTTATCTGTAGAATATTGTCTTCTTTGTTCAAGTTGGTATTTTGCTGCATCTGCTAACTTAACAGCCTCAACCAAATCTTGATTTTCTGTTTGTAAAACTCTACTTAATGATAAAGCCAATGCATGTACTGAATGCAAAATGTGAATTGAAACTTGAAACTGTAAGGTTTTTATAGCTGAAAGGAGTTGAAAAGATCCGGATGTTGTTTTTGAATCTGTCCAAGTACTTGAAATGTTTTCCAAGGCGTCAATAATAGCTGGTTGTAAATCTATATAGGTTCCAACTGATTCATGCTGTTGCACCCACCTTGTTGCGCAGTATTTTTTAAGTTTTTTTTTCTTTTCTTGTAACAAAGTGTCATTATTTTGTATTGCATCATGAAGTGCTATTTGTCGTTTTGGTGTATTGAAGAAGTTGTAAATAGATTGGACTGTACTGAGACAGTTTCTTATTTGGGGGATACTACATGCGGCACTAACTGCCAAATTGAAATTATGGGCAGCACAGTGTGAGTAGAGTGCTAAATGGTACTTTTCTCTGATATACGATTGAACTCCGTGAAATTCACCACTCACAGTACTAGCCCCGTCATACCTTTGTCCAAATAAATAAGCACAGTCAATTCCAGATTGTTCAAGGAAATCCAAAATAACATTTGATAAACCTTTCCCTGTTAAATCTGCTACAGGTACAAAGCTTAAAAAATCTTCACATATTTTTAATTTACTGTCATCATAATTTAAATACCTTACACATATTGAGACTTGTTCTATGCCGGCAATATCGGCAATTTCATCTGCTGTTATTGAAAATGCTTGAGATTTATTGACTCGTTCAGTAATTTGTTTTTGAATTAAATTATGAAAGATGACAATAAATTCGTTTTGTATACGGTTACTGATATACATGGCATTTTTTGAGGAATTTTGCAAAAAAGTATTAAGCTGTTCGTCAGTTTTTGCTCGATATCTTAAAAGAGTCCGAAAATTACCATCGTTAGTTAAAGGTTCTTTGGAGGTTATTCTCCCTGAATCATTTGAACCACGAAGCGCCAAACCCTGCCGGCCACATAATATTAATGTTTCGATTATAGGAATCAAACATTTTTTACTTTCATTAATGAAATCTAATTGTTGTTCCGAAATTTGTAAATCAACAGGTAAAATGTTTTGGTTATCAATTTCTGCTCTCATATTTGATTTTAATAATGAAGTTTTATGATACTCTAGTGAGTTATGGTAACTAAATGATTCTAAAGCTTTTTTCCAGTTTGTAAACGGTTTTTTAACTAACAGTCCCAACAGTCCAATTCCTCCACCTCCGACAGAAAACAGCACACAATACTTACAAAATACGCCATTCATAATTGCTGAATAAGCCAACCATTTATATTTGAGCAACCAACTTCTTTGATGTTTTAAATTTCTTTTTACGGAAACAGGAAATTTATAGTTTTCTGGAGGTGTCCAAATCAAATTTTGAAGTCCCGGAAACAAGTCAATAGTTTCAGTTGCAGGTTTATTCACATATAATCCTATGTCATGTTGGTGCACAATCTCTGGATGTGACACTGATACATTTGTTTCAGGAGATGCATTTTCCGCTGGTTCAGTTGGTTGTGACTGGTTATTAAAACTATTTTCCTGTAAATAAAATGTGAAAACTAATCAGATTAATTGAATAATTCATAATTGTGTTTATAGATTTAAATATTGCATTTAATAAAATGTGGTATACAAAATATTTCAACAACAATTAATAATAGATTTCAAATCACTAACGGGATGACTATATTATGTTCTATAGCACGCGCGAAAAATAAACATATCTCTATACTGACTATAATATAATAATAGTCCAATTTAATTTTTAAAAATGATTTGGATTATTAGTATCGAATTAATAGTAATTATAATTAATTTTAATGTACTTACTATTTAATCATTTTCTAGACGTGGTTTTTTGAAAAAATGTCCAATGTCCATTTTGATCATCAAAATTTAATGTTATTTCTAACGGCGTGTTTGTTTAACGAACGTGAACGTCTCACTGTGAGCTTACAATCGTTGTGTATGAACACTATGAACTAGATTATAAACAACTTTTAAAATACCTGAAATCCGTTATCGTATAACCTCGTGTTCTACTAATTGCAGTCGAATAAAATATTATTGTGCGACGTGTATGCTCTATACTTATGTTCAAACATTTTATTGTCATTATATTTTATCGATAACAGCAACGATGACGAAAGTCGATAAACAGTAAACGTGAAGACAACACTACATTATATTATTATAGGTAGTATTATTGTACTATTATATTATTATAGCATTATGTTTTGCATTATTATTTATTACAAATATGATTAGAAAATATTACATATAGGTAACAGATCAAAAATGAAAAAGACGATTTTTTCGGCCATGGGGGGGGGGTTTGAACCCCAAAACCCCTCCCCCCTTGCGCACGGGCCTGATACATGTAACTCGTATGCTGAATAGTTATTATTTTACTCTTGGAACTCGTAAAGTCGTAACTACTTATAGAATAATGAGTATCATCAAATTAATATTATATGGAAAACAATATTGTTAACTTAAAATAATTTTTTATGTATTTTGTATTCATCCTGATACGTACAGAGCAATTTTCATTTTTTTTTTTTTTATGTAACATTTTAGTGATTAACTATCATATAGTAACTATCATATCATATTGTACATTATATATAAATACTGCTTAATGGTACACTACATTAATACAATAAACATTAAAACCTAGGTAGCTATTGATAATAATGATTTTAATTGAGTCTTCATAGATATTATTAGAATATGAAATATTGACCAAAAAATAACATTTTTTGAAAATATCTTTTTTTTTATCTAGATAAAAATGAAATTATATTTTATCTTTATCTAGATCAATTTTGCATTATCTATTCCTAACACTGATTACGAAGTAATAAAAATTGTGTTTTGTTTATTGCAAATGTAGTTTTATGTCGTATGTTCAGTGGGCGTGTCCAATGTGCCCACAGTGCTTCTCAGCTTAGGATTGCTTCAGCTGGTGGCCGGTTTCACCGTAAGTCTAATCCTGCAACACATCCGCAGATATCACATAATAGGTGAGAACTGAAATTAACGCTCGGCATTTTGTTGTGTGGTAGCAATAGCTGACCGTCAACGTGGTAGCTTTGCGACAAAAATATTATATTATTTTCATTAATTTTCATGGTAATTACCATTGTAATTGTCATTTTTTTTATTTTTTAACAGTGATTGGATTCGCGTTTCATTCATGTTTGCTAATGGTACTGATGAAGTGGAAACCATCGGGCGATGATGCTGCGCTACTATATGTAATAGCTGCTGCTTGGGGCGTATGCAATGCCATTTGGAACACATTGTATTTCAGTAAGTATATTATTTTCATGCTATTTTATCACATATATCGTATATTATAATCATATTTGTAATAATATTATTTTTAGATTCTGAGTGAAATGAGGACTATATTGATTTTACAATAATGTGTTTTTTGTGTCTATGATTTTGACTTGAAGGATTACTCCAATCATTACAATTATGAAAGGTTATAAATATGAAAGCATGTTTTGTTGGTACTTGGGATTATTTTCAATTCTCCTTATAGTTTTCTTTATAATTGTGAAGAATTAATAAGAATTTACAAAAAACGATAAAATTTAAGGCATATTGGTTTTAAAAAATAAATAATTAATGTTATATTTACTTAAAAGATAATAATCGTAGAAACTTAAAATATTCATAGGTTTTCATATACTTTCTATATGTAATAGATATTATAGCATGAAATAGGTCAACGTGTTTATCAAGAAACTATACTTATATATACTTATGTAATGACAGTTTTTGGAAAGCTCTTAGTCTAGTAACATTGAAATATTCAGTTTTGCAACCTTATGTTTATTTTCCTTAATATATTTGTGGGGAGATAAATACGAGTATTCGAAATACTGTATTCAGAATACTCGTTATAAGTATTCAAAATACTTTATTGAATACTTTCAAAAAAATTATTTAAAAAGTATTTGAAATACTCAAAAAGTATTCTGAATACATATAATATTGTATTCGGAATACTACCCAAGTCTGATAGTAACATATATAGTAGTATCTATAGAAACGTATTAAAGTATTGTGTATATCTAATGGTTTTAGGTCTATCTAATCTACTAAAATATACAAAATTATTTTATCAAGAAAAATAACCGGAATGTTTGTGTTATTATAGTATTAGATTATTTTAATTTTTATATTAATTTTACGTATAAACTAAAAATGTCAACATTTTTTAATTTTATTGATAATTTTTAAATCAATTGTAAAAAGCTAAGTTATTTCAACTACTAATTAAACTAAATTTAAAAGTTTATTAGAAAATAAACTAACTAATTAATAAATAAATTAATCAAGTTAAAAAGTTAAAAAAAAATTTTTAACTGAACTTTAACATTTTAGCTAGGTTATGTCCACCTTTGGGTAAAAAGTAACTCAAAATAATGTAAAAATGATAACTACGTATTGTTGGTACAAAAATTACTATTAATAACAAATAAATAGTTCACAGCAGTAGAATAAATTAACAATAATATAATAATTCAGCTCTTTTGACTCAATAATAAATAAATAATCAAAAAAAAATCTCACAATTAGTGGAACGAAAGTTGGCCAGTTGTAACTACATTAAATATACAAATTATAACTAACTTTGCAATTATAAATATCACACTCTCACAAATATAATATAATAATTATTGCTTGTGACAATTAGCGCCTACATTTTACAATAAAATAAATACCTATATAAAAATAAAAACAACGATTAGCACTCGTATATAAAAGTAATAATAAATCATAATAAAAATATACATAACAATAAACTTAAAACCCAAAACCGTTCTCATACAGTGGTTGACACGAGACAAGGAAGAAATTACACGTAAATATTACCTTAATACATACACTCACTAGACTTTTTGATTACATAACACGCGATATGAAGAACAACAATAATCAGATATTAAAATTAACTTATGATTACGTAATATATATGTGTATATGTGTGTGTGTTAACTGGTTTATATGTAGTGAATCCAAGTGAATCATTGACCGTGATATGCGGTCTCGGCAGTACTTGATTATGTAAAAATCTATATAATAATAACTTTGTTCACGAAGTTTCAGTGCGAATAACTTTATTATTAAAAATAATTTTTTAAAAGAATGAGTATAGAGTGTTTATTATTCATCAGAATGATAGCATAGATATTAAAGAAAAAAATCATTAATCCATTAATACGTTACGACGTAATTATATCTATTTTAATGTATTAGTATAATTAATTATATAAATTATATGTGGAAAATATCTCTAAATATTTTATAGTTCAAAGGAAAATGCTTTTTATTTTTAAGCTTAATCTTATTTTATTAAATTTAAATGTATTTAATGGTTGAAAGGATTTATTTATATAAGTACATTATTTAAATACTTAAAAAAGCATTAATAATCCTTAAATGTAAGTCGAACAACATTAACATTGTATTTTTTTCAAATTCTTTTTGGGTTTATTAGCCTTTAAAACCATCCCGTTTCACAACCAAGCTTCCATTCTTCTCTATCTAGTGCTAGATTTCTTCAGTTGGAACCACCTTCCATCTATTTAACATCCTTTTTTATAACATCTTCCCAACGCATTCTTGGTCTTGCCAGAGGCCTTTTACCTACAGGATTTTGTTCACTGCATATAGCAGTGGATCTATTCATGTAACAGTCCTCCAAGCATGGCCCGCCCACCGTAGTTTTCTTCTTCCGATAACCTCCAATGTACCCAAACTATGTTCTTTCTTTTTTTTTTCACTTCCCAGCTATTTTGTCTTTGATCGGGCCTAGTGATGGGCAAATTCCCGGGAATATAATAAGTTTTTAAATATTGATCATAGGTTTCAGTTTTAAATTAATCTTATGGCTGTAAATGATCCAAATTACAGTTTTTTACTGATATTATTACAGTATAGATTTTTATTCTTTTAAAAAAAGTTACTAAGTAACTATAATTTAATTTTTTAATTAAAATCTGTAGTATGATCACAAAATAAATGATCAAACTTTTATTTTTATATGTTAAAAATAAAAATTAACATACTGAAATATTGAATAACTTTTACTTATACATATAATGAACAATATATATATATATAACTATAGATAACTCAGTATCTTTATTAATAAAATTAAAAACATGCACTACTCTTAAATCTTAATTAATAATTTTATAATAAAAATATTATGAACTAAAAAAAAAATAAAACAATTCATAACTACTACTTTGTATTTAAATAGGTTTTAAAAATAAACATAATTACTAATAAATTATCCACATAATCGTTATCTTCTATGGTATGTAATTGTAATATATGTGTATTTTTAGCTGGTTTAATTTTAACTTCAGAGGGGCAATTTTTACAGATTTTTATTAAATACATCGTCATTTTAGTAGCATTTTTACAAGAATATTGAAATTTGCAATAACAGCATTCAAATATATTTTTGCCATTTACAGTTTTTTCTTAGTGATGTAAACAAAACGCCAAATTTTTTTTACCACCAGTCATTTCAACAGAAAATTTGATTAGCACCAAACAAATAACGTACGTAATATACAAATACGTACACTAGATTTAAACACAAAAAGTTATTTACAGAAATGTTAAGAAGTTTGTGAAGTGTGAAACTAAAAATTTAACTTACTTGGTACTATAGTACCAGAAATTAAATGTATAAAACTAATAATTATGTAAATGGAAAATACTAAAATGAAATATCGATAATTCTATAATCAATTATAATCTAATATATTGCTTATCAATACTCAGTTGTTTGTCGGTCAACAAATCAGTTTAGCTAATTGATGTGAACAAAATACACTAATGAATACTGATAATTTAGTACAGAGTACAAATGTACAGTAGTATAGACTGTCATTCTATTTCCACTAAATTTTTTTATTTATTTTTTTTATTTTTTCAAGAAATTTCTCGAGATGCTGGGGAATATTTCGGAAATATTACCTGTTCATGGGAATATACCTAGTGGCACATGACTATTCGAGCCATATATTTTTTGCAACAATTTTTTTTAAAGACAATGGCCATTTCTTTGATCAACATAATATAACCGGTCGTATCGGGGATAGTTGTTCTTTTATTCTTTGCGATACTGCTCGTGAGCTTAGTACCTTAGTAAGTTCATAGTAACATTTATTCTTAGCCAGGGACGGCTCAAGCAATAATAGTGAACTAGACAAAATCAAATTTTATATCTCTAAAAAAAAATTTAGCTCTAATTTTAACATGGCTCCTCCCTCTATTTTTCATGTGACATCGTAAATGAAAAATATTTAAACATTTTTTATTTTAAAGAAATAACAAGTAATGTTGGACCATAGGGATTTTTTTTATATTTTTTATTTTAATGTCAAAATTTAAAGTTATTAATTTATTAAAAATTCATTAGGTGCATGTATTTAGACGTTAGGAATTCATATAATCAAATATTTATTGCTTTTTAAAATATTTTTCACTGTTAACATTACAAAGAACTAAACCTTTGTCATAATTTTAAAAAATTAAACAAATTATTATTATAATAATATTGAAAAAATAAAATAGAAGAAACTTAATTTTATTTTTAATTGAATTTTCTTGCTTTTAGTAAAACAAAACTCTGTATACTATGTCCATGTATATCCATGTCTAATTCTTCAGCGCTTTCGCTTTCAGTAGAAAGATTGACTAATCGGTCTTGAGATATATTGATCACAAATAAGTTTTTAATATTTTAAGTTTGTGAAACTCCTCTCGACTGTTACAGAAGTTACGAGTTAATTCGATATAATTCTTAATATTACATAAGGGCAAGGCTTTACATCCGAATAATTTTTTCGGATTTCGGGTTTCGGGTATTGAATATATTCGGGTGTTCAAACAACACAATACAACATTTAAATAAACGTTTGGGTGTTAATAACCGTTATTATTCGGGTTAATATTGGTTAATACGAGTGTTAAGTAGTCAAGGAAAAATATTATTTTTCATTGTTGGTGGGGAGGCTGAGCCCCCCTCCACTAATGAAACATTTATATTTTTCGTTACCCGCCTATGTAATAAATATTAATTTCTCATACAACTGTGCAACAGTTTTTTAGACCAAACTATCACTATGTTAATTTCAAGCAATTGTGTAGCTATGATTTATTTTCGGAGAAGAGGGTGTTATTTTACATGAGTATGAAGCTTATAAATTGTGATATCTATTAAAATTAAAAATACAAACACTATGTTCTACTTCTAGTTAATGCGGGCATATCGC